ATATTCTGAGAAGCGATTCCTTTTCGTTGGACCAAAGAGTTCGCAAATGATTTCGTGCCATAAGTGGAGTCAAATGTGATTTACCTCTAACTGCTGTCATATCCATAACAGCCATATCTTCTATCTGTTCGGCGCCTATAATTTTTTTGCTCGCTTTTGATTTCGATTCATTCATAATAATCAACGCGTTGTTGAGAACCGTTAAGCTATTCTTCAGAGCCGCGCACTGAAGACACTTCTTGTTTGGCTTCAATAGCTTTCCGGTCAGAAACTCTTTGTAAACCATTTGTTGCTTTTCGACTATATTTTTCACATTCAGACCATTTTTAACAGATTTAGTGAACCGTTTATTATATTCTTCGTCTATCTTTTCCTTTAACTTCTGCCTCACATATAATCGGATGGAAATGGCGTCCAAACCTATGTTGTCAGTCGTCAGCGAAGAACCAAACGCTTGCAAATCCTCGAGAATGATATCGAGGCCACGGCTTAACGCTTCCATTTGCGCGATCTTTATCTCCAAATCGGTGGGAGAGAAGAGAAGGTGATGGCACTCAAAGCAACACATCTTCAGCACCTGTTAGCACAGCATTACATCAGTTTAATTCATTCACACTTTCATGAGATAATCCCTGAAATCAGACCTGAAATAACTGTTTAATGAGGAATGGATTAAAGACGGGAAGCGATAGATTGATGTGTCCGTAATGTCCGCAACAATCAAACTCCGAGAGACCACAAGTGGCGCACATCTCATCCCTTTTGGCCGGACCTGTAATACACAACACACGCAATCACTCAACAGATCCCAACACTCGTGCCCACACATGTGTGGCCATCGCTTACCGAACGCAGAGTCGCAAAGACCTCCTTCTCGGGGATGAGACAACTCGTCGAACGTCTTCCACGTCTCGACATTCAAAACACTTAATTTCTTGATCTCATCCTTACTTATGATCCCAAAGGAGACGCCGACGATCTGAGCCGACGTCTGACCACTCGTTGAGGACATCACCACTGATTGTGCGCTCAATTCAACACAAATACCACACTTTGGATGCGCTTCCGAGACATGTGTTTGGCTTTACAATCAAATCACGTGATTATTGTTGAAAATCGCGATGTTTTCAATCGTTTACTAATAAACACAAAGTATATAACAATTACTTCTTTGGGTTTATTATAAACGCAATGTTTTTTCAATTAGTCTTTTATAAAGGGTT